TTAATAGAGGTGGTCCAAATTACGAGGGGTTTTGATAGAGTAAACAAGGAGAAACTATTTTCATTGGCAGGTGTTTTGGTAACCAGAAGACGCAGATTTAAGTTATAAGAACATAAGATAATTAGCAAAAGAACCAGAGGGGAGATGAGGAGAATTTCTTTCACGTAGCAAGTTGTTACGCTGAGTTGCACTGCCTGAAAGTGTGATGGAAGCAGATTCAATAATAACATTCAGAAAAGGGAACTGGATATATACTTGAAAAGGAAAAAAAGTGCAGGGTCTAAATGGCCTCCTTCCTGTGCTGTAAGATTCTATGAGTCTACCTTATGAAGTGCTTTGAGATGTGGATGTGGTCTTGACATGAAAGGCACTGTATCAAATGCAAATTTTTGCAAATGCAAATGCAAATAGTTATTATTATCACCTCACTTGGGCCAGCTACCTGATGTTTCTCATCAGCCAGGAGCAAAGTAAAACGTTTGCCTGGAAACCGATGGTGGATTGAGTCATGTGCCGCAGTAGCAGAGTACTGTCGTCCTCGTGTGGGTGGAATTGCAAGCTAATAGTTCTGCAGAGTGCAACCTTTCACTCACTCTGCACTCATTGAATGTTCAGGCATTTCTAAAGTCAGGTCAAGCCAAGCTGGCTTCCCTTACAATCCCATATCAATGCACCTTCATTGCAACCCAAATCCTGCGCAGCTCAGCTCTGAAAGCGGTTAAATAGTTTTTAGATCATCTTTGTGCTGTAGTTACAGATGAATTGCAATTAGGTGGAGACAGACTGATCTCAGGTTGTTTCTAACCACTTGTAACAGTACAATACAACATTACATTTGTATAGTGCCTTTCACGTCGGGAGGATGTCCCAAGCCGCTGGACAGTCAGGGATTTGGACCCGAGCGGAGTGAGGTGAGGGAATGGGGTTTGCGATCAGGGAGGGTGGAGGGCAGGGAGGGTAAGAGGGTGGCCGAGGGTGTACTCCATTAAAGAGTCCTTGTACCAGACTGCAACTCGGAAATCAAAAGAGGAAGGTCACAGGCTCACACTGGTATGTTAAACTTCCCTCATATCTCTATGCAAACGCCACCGGCTGACTTACTTCCTCTATTGCAGAATAAGGCAAAAAGCAAACTAACAAAGAGCATTTTAAATAAGTAATTCTTTACACTCTTTCCTAAATGACAGAAGAACATCATAACATATTCTTATGTGATTAAGGACTAATTAAGAGACAGACTACCTTCTAGCTGTTGGTTGGTGAAACAGGATCTAGGTATAAACTGCTTGCTTGGTTTTTACTCTCATTGGTGGTCTTTTGATCATTTTGTGCACGGTAATAATGAAACAGAGCGTCCTCAGTCAAACCCACAGAGGTGAATGAAACCGGTCGTTCTTATATGTATTTCAACATAAAAAGATTAGATTTGCATTTATTTATCTGAAGCTAGGGTTTCAATATTGGGGAATCAGAATGAGGGTCATTAAAAGATGGTCAGCTAACCTGTCTTAATGGTTAACCTTTGGTTACTTCTCGGGTCAAGTGACTAGCTGGCTACCTTTTGTGGAAGCAGATACATCATGTTAAACTTCCCTCATATCTCTATGGGAAGATCATGAAAAGATTTGATAAGATATTGATGAGCTGCTCCACTGGTTGGGGTGACCAAAGCGAGCGGGTGTAAATACAAAATAGGCATTAGCGCCTTGGGACGTCCTCCCGACGTGAAAGGTGCTTTACAAATGTAATTGTGTATTGTATTAGCAGATTTATCAGGGAGTTTAGGAGGTGTTTAGAAAGAACCTCTTCACGTAAAGGGTGATGAGAATGTGGCACTCACTGCTGGAAGCTGTTGTTGATGTAACAGAAATCAATATATTTAAGAGGAGACTTGGGACATACATCAGGGAGAAGGGAACAGAAGTGTATAGGTGAAGGGGGAATAGGAGGAGTGGGGTTCATGTGGAGTATGAATACAGCACAGACAAGTTGGGCTGAATGATCTGTTTCCATGCGGTCATACTCTTTGTTAATCTACATCAGTTTTGTTCTGTGGGTTAGTTATATTTATATTTATTTGTTCAGAACAATCTCGTTAGAACAAGAGACCGAGTTAGTCCCAACCCAACCAAATCCCAGATGATCACGACATCTTGCAAACACTCCCCAATTTATTCCCCTTTCTCTCTTTACCTTCATAGAGAAGACACCAGGAAAATTGTGGAAAATTGTGGATTCTCCACTGGGTTTCCTATCCCCTCTCCTCCCTCTGCTTCCACCAAAGGTCATTTTCTTCTTGCACGGTATCAGGATGGTCTGTCCACTGAATACAGATATTACGTTTGGTTTGCACACATAGCACAAGAGGACCCGGGTTCAATTTCTGGGCAGGGTGAAACTCCATACGCCTCTGTTTACCTAGCAGTAAGTAGGAACCCGGTTGTTAGTCGATTGACAATTCACTTTCTGGGGGTAATAATACAATACAATATAAAATTACGTTTGTAAAGCGTCTTTCACCTCGGGAGGCACTAAACAGTTAGGGATTAGGACCCGAGCTGGAGGTGGGGGTTTGGGATCAGGGAGGATGGAGGGCAGGGAGGGTGGGGGTTAGGAGGGTGTCCGAAGGCACGGTCGAAGTGGAAGGTCTTGAGGGGTGCCTTGAAGGAGGCAAAGGAGGGAGCGAGGCAAAGGGAATGTGGGATGGAATTCCATAGGGTGGGGAAACAGAGGTTGAAAGCCCGACCATCAATGGTGGGGCCGGACGGGCGGGGGACATGGAGCATGTTGAGCAGAGGGAGCGGACAGGTTAATAAGGTGTTAGCAGGTTGGAGAAGTAGGAGGGGACAAGGCCATGGAGGGCCTTGAGGGAAGGGGAGCCAATGGAGCCAGGCGAAGGTGGGTGTGATGGGGTCACTGAGCTTGGTGTGGGAGAGGATACGAGCTGCAGAGTTCTGGTTGATCTGCAGTGTGTGGAAGGAAGAGTTGGGAAGGCCGACGAGCAGGGCATTGGTATAATCGCACCTGGTCGCAATGAAAGCACGTATGAAGGTTTCGTCGATCTAAGGGGTGAGGCAGAGGCAGAGTTGGGCAATGTTGCAGAGGTGGGAGAAGGCAGAGCGAGTCATGGCATGGATGTGGGGGAGAAAGGAGGGTTGAGGGTCGAACAAGATGTCTAGGTTCCTGACTGGCTCGGTGAAGTGTCCATCCATGGATGCTAATGCTGACAGCACCTGAGGTGTGGAGGCGCTGGTGCGAGACGATCAGTTGGTCCTCAGTTTTGCTGACATTCAACTGTAGAAAGTTAGCTCTCATCCAGGACTGTCAGGACATCAGTGGTCCTGGGGTCGAGAGTGGAGGCAGAGAGGTGGAGTTGGGTGTCATCCGCATACATGTGGAAGTTGAACCCATGTCTGCGGATGATGTCACCAAGAGGGAGCATATAGAGGTTGAAGAGGAGAGGACGGACGATAGAGCCCTGAGGAATGTTGCACGTGACAGTGTGGGGGCTGGAGGAGAAGCCATTTGTGGACACAAAGTGGAGACATAAACCCTTAAAAAGAATATTCTGTGAAGTGATTTGAGATGTCTTGACGACGTGATAAGGTGCTTTATCAAATGCAAGGATTATAGCGAGTGTGTTTGTTTGTGTCTGTCTGGGTCCAATTTTCCCTGTTAACACAACATTTAACAGAATGTGAGTGCTGTGCCCTTGGGGGCGTTTTTGGGGTTTATTCCTCTCTACCCCTCTTCACACAGAGGGTTGTAAAAATGTGGAACGCATTGTCCTAGAAGGTCCCTGACAGAGAATTGATTGAGGTGCTTGAAAGGGAGGTAGATAAATGCCATAGAGAAGTAAAGCGATAGAGAGGAAAGGTGAGGACAATGAGATTAAAAAGATACATGTACAATAAAGTAGTGTTGGCAGAGGCCGGCTTGATGGGTGGTTCATACGACACTTCTCGCAGATGGTCTGTGTTATTAAAGTCAAAGGGTCAAACATTAAAACCAACATTCCATTCCATCCAAATATTTATCTTCTAAAGCCCTTACGTAGAATAGTGCAGTAGTGCAGGTGTGTCTTTAAGCACGAACATTGGTTGCGGCCAGGACTCATTTAAAAAACAGCTTCAAAGCCAGACTCTTAGAGAGATGTATCGTAATGTTACCCGATAGTGAATCACGAGCTTAATAAGATACTCACATAAGCTCCACTTTTGCTGAAACTATCCACCGTTCCCCCAGTTTTAATGCCTAAAAATTATTTTAAATAACGTGCCAATTAGACCTCACCTTCCTTAACCTGACCCTCTAATGGTTATGAATGCCGGACGTCAATCAAAATCAAGCTCTCACGTACATCACCTTGTCCAGCAACTCATAGAGCCTTAGAACAGAGTATCGCCAGTGGAGGATCATATATTGAAGAGAAGAGGATTATATATTGTCATTTTCACCCACAAAATACACGGTCAATTCACATTATAGTATATTCTGTGAAGCGCTTTGAGACATCTCGGAGATGTGTTAAGGTGCTATATCAAATGCAAGGATTATTATTATATTGGGTTGACCTGCAGTAACCCTGAGCCCTCTCTCTCTCTCTCTCCATCCATCCATTCCAGAGGTATCTCTCAACACTGCTTCTAAATCTGGACCTTAATGAAGCTTTCAGAGATGAACAAACAATAGATATAGATATATATATATATATATTTTAAAAATTACACTTTTAGTGGCCCTATATCATACCGTAATAGGTTCTGATACTATGAAGGAGGTGATTCTTCATAATAATCTGCAGCAGCTTAGACATTTTATCAATAATCCATTCCCTTTGTATGAAAAATTTATAAAATAATGTGACAAAACTATAGCTCTAGGTCATCTAAAAAAGTTATACAGGAAGAAAAAACACAGCAGAATTATATATATATATATTATATATATATTATATATATATATTAAAATTGGATTACTTTGTCACCCGGTACTTAACCTCACAAGTTTGAAGGGAGTTTAGACTGAATGGATTCCAGGTCAGAACTGAAGGTTACTGACCCCTTTCTGGGCACAGTCTGGTCTTTAGATATCGTAGCTGAAAAGGTAGCAGCAGATGCTCCAAACAACTGTCCCTGTGGTTGCGGTAAAGCCCCTGAGGACATTTGCCGTGAGAGAGTTATACGTTCAGGGATGGAGCTATATGGCTTGCTGAGTTGTTCCGCCTTAGAAGAAGCTGTCAAACCACCAAAGGACTCCCTAACCGAGGGAGGACTTCCTCGACTCAGGGCTTGGGCCACTCCTTGGGGCAGCAGTGGCTGAGAGACAGAAATCATCTTGATGTCCTGTGTGAGACATCCTCTTTGCAATGCCGGTGCGCCCTTCAGGGAGAGAGTCTGTGGCATCAGAAGCGAGCTGTGGGAACCCGACACAGCAGGCGAGCCACGTGGAAGCGTTCTCCCCGTTGCCTGGCCTTGGAAAGACCCCGTGGGGGTGCAGCGCAGAGATAAGGTTCCCGAACGGTGCAGGGTGGACATGGGAGCGGGGGACATGTGGCTGGCTTTGCTTGGCTGCTGCAACAAGTGGCCCGTGGTGTTGGTTTGGAGACCTGACCCACCACCGAGCGGGAGTTTGCAGTTCACCGACGGAGAGCTGGAGCCGAATTGTGGGAGTTGGCTTAGACTGACCGAAGGGGAGCCAGCTTGGGGCAGTTGGCTTAGACTAGCCGAGGGGCTGGCCGGCACGGGCAGGTGAAGTCCTGGCGACTGCGCAATGCCTGATAAGGCAGTCGGAGCCCCGCCCGCCTGAGGAGAGTTAGACGTGGGCTGAAGATGCTTCAGTTGAGGAGGGGAGGAGCTGGCTGTGGGCGGGTGAAGCTGGGCCACCACAGGCGAGCTGGGCTGGTGGGTGGGCTGCAGCACGCTGGCCATGAACTGCTGGAGATGTCCTCCCGAGGGCGTGGGAGAGGAGGTGGCCGACCTGGGCTGCCGAGGGTGTGTTAACATTGACCCGCTGAGACACGTGCGAGCGTGAGGGTAGGCCGAGCTGGTGGGGGGGGAGCTGGGTGATGGTGGCGGGAGCTGGCTCAGCCCCAAGCCCAGCCCCAGGCCGCTGTACGAGGAGCCCCCGAGCAGCTGGTGGGGGTGGAAGAATGAGGCCTGGGGGGATTCTGGGCAGGGCGTGTGGAGGTGGGAGGGGGTGCTGCATGGAGACCCGACTGCGGAAGAATCTGTGGTAGGAGCTCCAGCTGAGGTCTGGTTTCTCCTCACCTCCCCTGGGGTCTGGCAGGACTGTTGCCCCAAAGAGCTGAGGATGGATATCGGTGGTCGGAAGATGCCCCCAGGGAGGCAAGGATGGTGATGGGTGAGCGCTATGGCCACTGATGTAGTGGCAGCTGCCGCCTGCAATGGGGCTTGGATCAAGGGTGGCCAGATGACGGGGGTTGGCGGGGAAACGGTGGGCAGTGGCCTCTGGATGTTCTGTGCCATCTCTCGGTCATGCTGTACAATCTGCTGTATTATCTCCTTCTCCTGATAGTTGAAGAGCCCGGAGTTCAGGTCATGCTGGACCTTGTGGAGCAGAGTGGAGTTCTTCTTGCCTGCGTGGAGGAAAGGACACAATTTAAAATTATAGAATTACATTGGTATAATGTCTTTCACATCGGGAGGACGTCCCACGGCGCTGGATGAACTGAAGAACTGTTGAACATGCGTCAGTCGATGAACTGAAGCGTGCCAGCATCTCCTCCTGGGTTTTTCTGCTGCTCGATCGCAAACCAAAACTGTATTGGTCGGATCTGCAAACGGGCTGCAAACCGGTTTTCGCCCCTCACCTACACAGTCACTACACGGCACAGTCAAGCGCATTGAGACGTTTTGACACCGTGATAACCAAAGTCCGTCTGCCTACTTCGGTGAACGTTAAAGATCCCACAGCACTATTCGAAAAGATAAGGGAGTTTCTGTTTTCAGATGTCCTGGCCAACAGTTCCTCAAATAAAATCAGTCACTTACTCCATCGCTGTTTGTGGGACACTATTTGTGCGCAAACTGGCTGCTGTGTTTCGCCCACAAAATACACAATCAATCCATTTCACAATATATCCTGTGAAGCGCCTTCAGATGTCTCGACGATATGATAAGGCACTATATCAAATTATTATTATTGAGGAGCTGCATCAAATGGATGAATTATTTATTATTGGATTGTTATTACTATTGTAATTCACAATAAATCAGGAGAACAAAACGTGCATAAACACATATTAGGGAATTAACAGGTCCTTATGCTATTTGTTTGTGGTCAATCTGACACACACGGAAACCAGTCACCATGCTTAAGAGTCAAACTAGACAAATTAACATTCAGTTTGTGTTATTCTCAAGGTGTTCTGACTAAATGGCATCAGACTGGGTAATGTAATGAAAGGAATGAAGCCTATCTCATGTTCTGGAGAGGTGACTGAGCTAATTCAGTCTGTTAACTCACAATGTGAAACCACCAGATCTGCTGTTAGATTGTCCTATTAAATATTGCAACAGCTACAAGAACAAACTGAATAAATGAAAGTCCACTTGTCAACGTCATATAATTAAACTCGTAAATATCACGTTATATTAGAATTACAAGACAGAAACAGGCCATTCGGCCCTAACAGTCATGCTGTTGTTTACAAACCTCTACCACCCTCCTATCCTCCTTTATTCCCTTCTCAAGTATGCAAGCTATCTCTGAAATGCGTTGATGCTCTTTGCTTCAACTACAGCTTTCGGCAGTGAGCTCCTCATTCTCACCACTCAATGTACAAAGAAGTTCCTCCTAAATTCCCCTGTTACTTCCTGTCTTATATTTATGCCCTCTGGTATGGACCCACCAACAAGTGGGAACAGTCTAATGAGGGCACCGACACATTGTTCTTTTGCTATACAACAAATGTTACATGTATACAGCGCGTTTCACATCACGAAGATGTTTCAAAGCAATTCCCATGACTGGGTGCCTAACTGGAGTGGAAGGCATGGCTATGGAATGTGGGGGAGGGAAAAGTGCGATCACAAAGAAAGGCCTTAACAAGAACAAATTACACTTGTAGAGTGCCCTTCACGTCGGAAAGACATCCCAGGGCACTGGACGATCAGGGGTTTTGGATCCGAGCTGGAAGTTGAGGTTAGAAGAGTTGGAGGGCAGGGGGTTAGTGGAGGGAGGATGGCCGAAGGCACGGTCGAACAGGAACACGGGACTTGAAAGAGGCATGAGGCAGAGGGATTGAGGGATAGAGTTCCAGAGTGGGGGCAGAGGCGCAGGTGCTAATGGTGGGGAGGGAGGGTGTGAGGTGAAGGGACCCGGGGATGGAATTCCAGAGACTGGGAGCAGCACAAGGGTAGACTAATCCATACAGAATTAATTGCTATCAACATCTCCATTACTGAAGCAGGATGATAGAAGGTGGACTAGATTGATCTTGGTCTCTTTTCATCCAACAATTCCTTTGATTTTACGTTCCTAACGTGGACATCAATGGAGTGGCAGGTTGGGCGGGGGCCATGAGAAAGCGATCAGAGCAGTAGGTTTACAGGAGATCACTATAATCATGGGTTGAAGTCAGCTTTGAGGACAGCACACACACACATTAATTTAATCTGCTGGAGTAACCCTATTTCAGCACAAAAGCACACTGCAGCCGCAGGCAGTCAGATCAGAATTTATTGGACTTGAATTGTTTTGAATCCTCTCAACGGCACAATTGAAAGATTAAGCTCTGGGTCTTTTAATGGTAACCCACGTTCCCAGTATTGTACGGCAAAGTCGATGCACAATCGAGTGAGACTTGCATTCAGACACAACACAACTTTTGTTTTCAATTTGGCAATTCTGGTACAGGTTGGATATTTGAAACGTTGTATAATCGCAATCTTTTACAACACATTAATGCTTTAATTCCAATAATCCTATTGACTGGAGGTATTGATGGATTTCGTAATTAGTTAGGCTGACTAATCCTTTATTCTCCTGGAGATTTTACTTTCAGTGGATTTCCAACTGTTCTAAATGGGTGGAAAAAAAATCAACATTGAATTCCATTAGTGCCATCGACTTCAATGAATTCTGCACTTTAGTGGGGTTGAAATCCCACCTGGATCTGGATTGACTCAATTTATGTAGCATTTTAGGACATCCAGAATTTGGAAATTTCTGAAATACAATCTTAATTTTGAAGCCAGTGTTCTGTAAGTTTCTTTTAAGGAATCCACAGAAGATTAAAACTGAATTGGATGATTTGACAATAATAACTCGCATTTGCAACAACTTGCATTTATATAGCGCCCTTAACATGGGTTGGGTGCTGGAGGTAATGTCTGGATGTTCTGAAATGCTACGTAAATCTAGAACTGGGGTATAACTTCTTCTGTAAGGGAAGAATTAACACAAAGTGTTATCTGCAGAAATGCTGAAAAACTTTGACTCCGAGCAAAAATATCATATCCTGTGCACAACCCTGATCCTTAGATGTTTTTAGACAGATTTTAGCACAGTAATTTGTACTTTCAGATATGCCGGCAGTAGGGGTCACAGGTTCTGGGTAACGAAGGGCACATTTAGGGCAAACACTGGGAAGTATTCATTTATATCAAGGGTAAATCATAGCCTACTATTATGAAGGGTGTAGAAGCCAAGACACTGGACTCAACAACATCAACTTGCATTTATGTAGCCCCCTTCATGTAGGGTAAAGTCTTGGAGGGCTTTACGAGGATGGAGTTAGATGGCGAGTAAGGGAGAGGAGGTTGCCAAGGCATGGTCAAAGAGCAAGGCTTTGAGGTGGGGGTTCAAAGACAAAAAGAAAGGCGAGGAGGGGCAGTTGAAAGATTAGAGGGAGCGAGTTCTAGAGGTTAAGACACATTTATGAAATAGCTCAATGCTGTGATGGGAAGACGGTAGGGCAGGGATTCGCGAGGGGTGAGACGACCTGAAACACTTTTTTGATCTTGTGAACGAAGCTGGACAGAAACCATGTCTTGGAACGAAAGTACACCCTTGTATTTTACCATACCATCCAGGTCTGATCAATCAAATGCTATTTTAAAAGAGTAATGCATTCCTGCAAAATTCTTCTTCAGCGGAATTGATCTGATTGTATGTCAGCCCCCTCATGTCTACCATAGAAAGACATCCTCTGATGCACACTGGAATACAGGAACCACTTCAATGAGATTCTCTTATCTAATAACCTGCTTGTTCTGGGATTTATCTATGTTCTGGCATCCACCCAAGAAACCTTAAGTGCAGATTAAAAGTGCACAATATTTAAGAACAACAAAATGCATTTAAGTACTTAAGTAGAGATTGCACACGAACACGACCGGTTTTAATGGTGGTAAATGAGGTCTGTGTTTTCAGCAGCGGTTAATCCTGAAGTTCTCTGCGCTGGCTTTAAAGATCGCAACAGATACACAACACTTTAATTGCGCACAACTATTCATATGACTAACAGCAATGGAATATGATGTGCTTTATTAGATAAATATAGCATTGTGTGTAATGTGCTCCTATAATAATATTATAATAACAATGTTTGACGCAGTGCCTGATCACATCATCTCAATGTCTCAAAGGGTTTTGCATGACTTTACTGTAAAGTGTAGTGACTGCCTACTTGAAGGTAAATTGAAAGTGGAATAGGATGAATATTTCAAAGGATCATTATAAAAGGGTACAAGCAAAGGGACTGGAGTAGGTAGGCACAGTGGAGGTATTAGCATCAGGAAAGGATTTGGTTGACTGAAATCACTGGGAAATCTGCATATGTATGAATATTTTAATTTGTCAGATATGAAATGTACACTCTGTCCCCTAAGGGATGCACCTTGCTTACCTAATCCCAGGGGGTACAGGCACAGGTTGGAAGGAGCCAAGGCTTGGGGACCACAAAGTGTGCTGCCGGAGTTAACTAGCTAAACCCAGTGTGAAATATTGTGAACACTGGCACGCTTCTGGTGCTTGTCCAACTGGGCCCACCCTGCAGTTAGAGCTTTGGCTTGCAGGATCATCAGGAGCCAAGAATCCCAGCCCCAATGGCTGTTCTGCTCCAAGACCACGTTCCCTTGGAGCCAACTCAGCCATTAGGAGACCCCGCTTTCCCTCCCCAAAAGGAACATAAGCATTACCTTTTATCATTTTGCCCACAAAATATACAGTCAATTCACTTTACAGGGTATTCTGTGAAGCGCTTTGAGACATCTCAATGATGCGATAAGGCATTATATCAAATGCAAGGATAATTAATATTTATTATCTATGGTCAACTACATCAGGACTGTGACAAATAGTGTTAGTACAAATGACTGTCACAAAAAAACGTCATGAGACTTAATATTAATTACTATTTAAGCACTTTGCGACTTTTTGACATGATAAGGCTCTGTAAATAGAGAAGATCCTTCTTTTTTTATATATCTGAGTCAGCCATCAATTGCTTCCGACCACAGTGTGTTCCTTGCAAGCCAGAAATTCCTGACGACACAGCACCTTTAATAGGCAATCTCTTCAGTTGATAAAGTTATAATTGTTTCAAGAATTTCAAATTGCCTCAATGCAAAA